ACACACACACACACACACACAGAAGCATCAGATAGTCCCACTTTTCCCACACAGGCCATGCAGCCTTTACCCAAAATGTATGGATTCTAAGTGTTATGGTTTGGGGAGAATTTTTGATTTTTTTTTAAACAAGACTTTGTACCATATACAGATCAGGCTGGCCTCAGATTTATAGCAATGCTCCTGCTTCAGCTTCCTAAGTACTGGGATTTTAGTCATGTGCTCACCCAGGGTCAGACTTTTGTTTTTGTTTTTTTGTTTTTTTCGAGACAGGGTTTCTCTGTGTAGCCCTGGCTGTCCTGGAACTCACTCTGCAGACCAGGCTGGCCTCAGAAAACCACCTGTCTCTGCCTCCCAAGTGCTGGGATTAAAGGCGTGCACCACCACCGCCCGGCCCAGACTTTTTTTTTTAATTAAATTAAAAAATATATATGTACATATACATATATTTGTGTGTGTGTGTGTGTGTGTAGGCATATGGAGGCTAGAGGACAAACATTGGGGTGACAAACAATACTTCTGCCTTGTTTGAGACAGGCTTTTGTTTCTTTTCTTTTTTTTCTTTTGCAAGACAGGGCTCCTCTGTGTAGCCCTGGCTGTCCTGGAACTTGCTTTGTAGACCAGGCTGTCCTTGAATGCCAAGATCCGCCTGCCTCTGCCTCCCGAGCACAAGGATTAAAGGTGTGCACCACCACTGCCTGACTGTACAGCAATATTCTGAAACAGAGTCTCTAGTATGTAACCCTAGCTGGCTGAAGCTCCCTATGTAGACCAGGCTAACCTCAAACTCTGAGATCGCTGTGCCTCGTTCACCTAAGTGCAGGAATTAATCATGAGTACCACTACACTCAGCCTATGAATATTTTGTAGGTTTGTTTTGAAGTATGCATGTGAGTATAGTTGCCCAAAGAGGCCAGAGGCACGAGATCTGAAGCAGGAGTTACAGGCATTTGCGAACTACGTGACTACTGGGATTGAGCTAGGGTCCTCTGAGAGAACAATATACACTCCTAACATTTATTCCATTTCCCAAGATCCTAAATGTAATTTGTTTTTAAGTATGTGTTTAGATGTTTTGTCTGCACATATGTCTGTGTACTATATGTGTGCCTGGTGCCCATGGATGCATTGGATATCTAGGCCCGGAGTTCTGACTGTTGTCAACTGTCACGTGAGTGAGAGAACTGAACTCAGATCCTTTGAAGAGCAGCCAGTGCTCTTAACTGCTAAGCCATCCTCTTCACCCCACCCTCACCCCATTTAAAACAACATTCTATGCATTCCAGTTTGTGAGAATGGATATGTGTGCACAGGTGTGTAAATTGGAAGACAACATCAGGCAGTGGTCCTCAGGAGGGACCCTGGTTGTGTGTGTGTGTTTGGGGGGATTATTACATAGACAAGGTTGGGTGGCCATGTGTGTGTGGAGGGGAGTGGGTCACCACATAGACAATGTTGGCTGGCCAGCAGGCTCCAAAGATCCATGGGATTCAAAGAGCATGTGTGTGTTTTTATGTGGGTTCTGAGGCTTGGACTCAGTTCCTCAAGGTTTCAAGACATGTGTTTTACTAACTGATCCATCTCCCCGGCACCTTTTCCAGTTTTAGGAGAATTTTTTAAAAAAACTGAAGCACAGAGACTCCGTGTGGCCCAGAGCCACACTGCTAGTGAAAAGCAAAGCTAACTGGTAAAGTTACTCACCGTGCAAGCTTAGTTGCCCGAGTTTAGTTCCTAGATCTCATTGAAAGGTGGGAAAAGAAACTCCACAGTCGTCCTCTGGCCTCCGTGTGCACAACATGGCACATGCACTAACGCACACATACAATATACATACACATGAACAAACTGTTTTTAGGCAAAACTGGTAGGCAAGCACGGAGAGATATACCTTTAGTTCCCACACTTGGGAGGTAGAGGCAGACAGAGCTCTTGAATTTGAGGCTAGCCTGGTTTACATGCATAGCAAGTTCCAGGAACTACATAGTGAAATCATATCTATTTAAAAAAAACAAAACAAAACAAAACAAAAAAAAAAAGCGGGGCGGTGGTGGCGCACACCTTTAATCCCAGCACTTGGGAGGCAGAGGCAGGCGGATTTCTGAGTTCGAGAGTTCGAGGCTAGCCTGGTCTACAGAGTGAGTTCCAGGACAGCTAGGGCTACACAGAGAAACCCTGTCTCGAAAAAAAAAAAAAAAGAATGCCTTTAATCCCAGCACTCAAGAAGCAGAGGCAGGAGGATTTCCTAATCCCAGCATTTTGGAGGCAGAGGCAGGTGGATCTCTGAGTTCAAGGCCAGCTAGGAATATAAAGAGAAACCCTGACTTGAAAAGACCAAACTAAAAATTTTTAAAAACTAGCATTTAAACTTAAACTGTCTGGTTCTTGGTTTTATGCCTTCCTACCTTCACACCAGACTTCTGTCCTCTAACGTCTGCTGACTGTTCCCACCTTATTTCCCGTAGTTAGCTCGATTACTTTCTCGGCTTGGACCATAGTTACCTAAGGCCCATGCAAAATTCCCTAACATGTCAGGTCTCTGGAAAGTAGCAAACTGATTGGAGTCTTTGGGCAGAGAGATGCTCACACATGATGAAGGCTGATGAAGGAAGGTTGAATTGTTTTGATATTTCTGGACTGGTACTCTGTCTGAACCCACAATTCCCTTGCCTTTCCTCTGAGGTAGAGAGTACATTATGGGGGACTATCGGAGCTGGTATCAATCCACCAGACCCATCGTCTGTGCTGAGAGGGATGTCAAACACCTCAAGGACCGAGGACCTCCAGGCTCTGTTCTTTCTACCATAGCTCTGCTGATAGGACAGTTAGCATCCAAGCAAGGAGTAGGTTCTGAGTGGTTCCCTGGCTCTCCCTTCTCTCGCCAAGCCTTCAGAGGAACCTGGGCCACACTATCTGTGTTTTCACAAAGCAGGCTTCCTGATGGGACACAGGGAACACATCTCGGTTCTCTGGGCTCTCTCGGCTTTCTCTTGGCACTCGGCACTCATTAGAGGTCAGCCCTCAGTGCTCGAGCCCCTGCTTCCACATCTTTGCTCTCAGCACATTCTCAAGCCCGGGGGAGGGAGGTGGCCTCCAAATGATTATAATTAGAGCGTGTTTGTGTGTTTGTGTGTGTGGAGGGGGTGGAAAGGACAAATGTCTCCTTGTGTCACATTCCTTCATCAAGGAGGATTTGTCCAGGGAGGAGGCAAGGCTTTAAAAGCTGTTGGACTCTGTTGGGACCTGGTAGAAAGCAGTGCCTGCAGGCCATCTTCAGGGCAGCTGGTAGGTACGTGGAATCATGGGTCGGTGGGGAGTGGGGGACAGCAGGACCCGTCAGGTGCTACTTTACTATTTCTCAATGAGTGTGCCCCATAACAACTCTTTTGGTCCCTGTCCCCTTAAAAAGAAGGCTCTGTATCCAAATGTCCCGTGTATTTTTATGAAATAACCAATTGGGATGGTTTGTCTCTCCCATTTACCCCCTAAGAGCCCCACCAGGTCTCAGCCAGAGGAAGCAGCCGAGGACGACAGGGTTTACAATTTGGAAGCCCAAAGGCTTCTCTTCTTAAAGTCAGGAGCAGCAAATGGTCCCTTCTTCCTCAGGAGCCATTGCTACCCTCTCATCCCGCTCCCTACACCCCTCCCCTCCGCTGAGCTGTGCTTCGGTTGCCAGGCATGGTTGCTAAGTCTCTGCATGGAAGGGTTGGCGTGGGCTGTGCTGCCACTAACATTACCATGGTGAATCAGGGGACACCTGGTACAGGCTTGGGGGAGGGATCCTGAGGATGCAAGCAGCACCCCCCTCAGTCCCCACCCCCCAGAATAGGATGAGTCCTAAAGGTGAGCTGCACATTGGGACAGTCAAGTGAACTAGGCGTGGTGACAGTCGTGAGTGGAAGCCCCAACCTAGGAAAGAAAGGCCACTTTTATCTTTTCTGTTGCTAGGGGATTTGGCTATGCCACAGGAGCAGACTAGTCCATCCCCCTCTGTTAGGGTACAGTGTATATAAGCACTCTATCTGCACCCCACATAAGGCTTGGCAGAGCTGTGTGGGTACGGGACTGTGTAACCCCAGAATCCTGGCTTCTGGGTTAGAGGAGCTAGCCTGCTGCTCATGGAAGGCTCTGTGGGTGACCAAGGACACCCATATCTAGAGTAGGGGTCGTCCTGCTGTTTGGTAGCCAGGATAGACTGAGTTCTGCCTCCGCAGAGAAAGCTGAGGTGTACAGGTGCAGGAGCCACCTTTCTGAGGTCTGGGGGTGGGGGTGGGTGGTGGAGAGTAGCTCTCTCCCCCCAGAGCCGCACAAAAGCTTTCTGAAAGCGGCACCTCTTCTCTGCACTGCTTAGGAACTGGTTACTCATCTCAGCTGCACCCGAATGCCACTGACACTAAAAATAGCCCGCTCCCCCCAGCTGTGGGCCAGCCTCTCTTGCACCCCAACCCCATGGAAACCAGCAGCGAGTGGCAGGCAGAGACCTTGAGTTCTGTTCTCACTGCTCCCTGTCAGAGAAAGGAGTCAGGGCAAGCAGGCGGGCGGGCAGGGATAGAGAGAGCACTGGTGGTCAGGCAACCTGACAAGCTGGAAAACAAAAGGTTAAAACTTCGGGAAGGATGAAGAAATGGGGGCTGGAGAAGAGGGCAGTGTAAGCTTGGCAAGAATCAGAAGTCTCTCCCCGCCCACTCGTGGGTCCCATTAGGCTTGGGGGACCTGAGCAGTGAGTGGGAAGGGGCGTCCAATCCCAGGCCCCAGGGGGCGGCCGTGCACATGGGGGAGGAAGCAGCGCCGAGCGGTCCACGGCGGCGGCGTGTCACATGCGCGCGCGCTCGCGCGCTCGCACACACACTCACACACACACAGACAGGCACACACGTGTGCCCGGGTATATATAGTTGCCAGTCCCTGGGCCTGCCGCTCTGCAGTGGGCGCCGGCTCCCTGGGTTGGGAGGGGGCTCACGGGGCGGGTGGGAGGGTGGGGGGCCGGGGTGGGGTGGGGCAGGATGCTGGATGGCCCGTTATTCTCCGAGGGGCCCGACAGCCCCCGGGAGCTCCAGGATGAGGAGTCTGGCAGCTGCCTCTGGGTGCAGAAGTCCAAGCTGTTGGTGATTGAAGTGAAGACTATTTCCTGTCATTATAGTCGTCGCGCTCCTTCTCGACAGTCCATGGACATCCAGGCCAGCTACTGGGCCCGTGGGCCCCAGAGCCGCACGTGAGTGAAGGAGGGGTGAGGGGCAGCAAGTGGTGGGGCGGGAAGTGGGGTCCAGACCTCCCCGCTGGCACCAGCGATTGCTGCTGGCCCCTTCTCTTTCCCGCGCCTCCCTCCCCCACTCGTCGAGGGCTGGGGCCTGAAGCATTGAGCTCTGTTCTGGGGGACAGGAGTGCTAGTGGCAGGCGGTGAGATGGGGCAGTCGCTGTTAAAGTGTGCATGGAGAGATGGCGAGGAGTCTCATTTCGACTTCAGCCCTAACACATACGCACGTGCACTCGCTCAGACACTCACACGAATCCTCCCACATGGCTGCCCCAAGTGCTCTCCAGTGCTCCCAGCTCCCCGGACTTCGGCTCTCTGTCCCCGCAAACTGCTCACCTGGGTTCCTGCTCATTGTCCCAGGTGTAGGCTGCGCCCGGGATCCCCTGAGCCGCCACCCCGCCGACCCTGGGCCTCCAGGGTGCTGCAGGAGGCGACCAACTGGCGGGCGGGGCCCCCCGCAGAGGTCCGAGCCCGGGAACAAGAGAAAAGAAAGGCGGCGTCGCAGGAGCGGGAGGCCAAGGAGACCGAGAGAAAAAGGCGCAAGGCTGGTGGGGCCCGACGGAGTCCCCTAGGTCAGCCCCGCCCAGAGCCCCGAAACGCCCTTCGGGCGGCCCAACCTACAGGGTTTCCAGTTTTCTCCAGACCAGAGCGCTTCGGGCAGGTGGGGCGAGCGCCCCGACCATCCGCGCTCCCGCAGGGTGACCCAGGGGTGGCATGGGCGGGGCCATGGGGAGGCAGGAGGCCAGGGCCCCCTAGCTACGAGGCTCACCTGCTGCTGAGAGGTGCTGCAGGCACAGCCCCAAGACGCCGCTGGGACCGGCCGCCACCCTATGTGGCTCCACCTTCTTATGAAGGTCCCCACAGGACCCTGGGGACTAAGCGAGGCCCAGAGCTCTCCCGGGCGCCCACCTCACCAGCCCCAGTTCCAGCCACCACCAGGACAGAGGGAGGGCGCACGAAGAAGAGGCTGGATCCTCGAATCTACCGGGATGTTCTAGGAGCTTGGGGTCTCAGACAGGGACGGGGACTCTTAGGAGGAGCTCCAGGCTGTGCGGCAGCCAGAGCTAGGCCAGAGTCTTGCAAAGGGGCCATAGAGAAAAGCTCAGGCCTAGCTGCTGCCAACAGTGGTGGCAATGGTCATTCCCAAGCTAAAACTACTGGCAGTCCAGGCACGGAGGGAGCTCTCTCTGGGTCCACGAGCAGCAGCCCCCCACGTCCCGTTCCCAGGTCCAGGCAGCACCTCAGGGGGTCAAGAAAAGGGGAAGAAGGAAATGAGCAGATCTGGGTTCCCACGTGTTGGCTTTCCTCCCCTAAAAAGCCTCCTGTCAGGCATAGCCAGACTCTCCCCAGACCCTGGGCTCCTGGAGGCACCGGGTGGAAAGAGTTCCTGGGTCAAAGAGAGGGGACAGAACATGAGACCCTGGAAGTTTGGAAGGTGATCCGCCGTGCCCACACCCTGCCCCGCACTTCCCGAGGTCCCGCTGGTAGAGAAGGCATCTTTGTCATTGACGCCACATGCGTGGTGATAAAGTCCCAGTACGTTCCGACCCCTCGAACCCAGCAGATGCAGCTCGTGCCCTCTGGGGAGTCATGCATTGTGAGCGACAGCCTCAGGCAACCCAAGCCCTGCCAGGAGGAGGAGGGCGAGGGGGCCGCTGCCAAGCCTTCAGTTTGCCAAAAACAACTGTTGAGCAGTCGAGTCTTAAACCAACCGAGAGAGGGTCGCGAGTTCGAGGCTGAGGGCGGGCGGCAGGGGGATTCTTCATTGGAGGAGCGCTCCTCCAGTGGTTTGGGGTTCCCTGTTGGCGAAGCGAACCTGCAAGACGCTCACACGCAGCCAGGTAGCCCAGAGCACCCGACCTTAGGCCCAGCGGCTCCGGGATGCGCGGGCAGCGTGAAGGGTTCAGAAGCAGCTGGGGTCCCGCGGCGCGCGGGCGGGGGCTGGGCGCGGACTCCAGGGCCCTACGCCGGGGCGTTGCGGGAAGCCGTGTCCCGCATCCGCCGCCACACCGCCCCAGATTCGGACTCAGACGAAGCCGAGGATCTCAGCGTCCATAGTGGCTCCTCTGACGGAAGCGACACAGACGCCCCAGGCGCCTCCTGGCGGAATGAGAGGACCCTGCCTGCGCTTGGGAACACCCGGCCTAGGGAAGGCGGGAAGACAGCCGAGATGAGCGACAGTATCCGGGAGATTCTAGATGTCATCGGTCAAACCGAGGAAGGCCTCGTCCGAGAGGACACCAGGAAAACGCCACAGGGGAATAGAGAGAGGGAGTGAGCGATGCCCCTGTTTGTTCTCGTGTCGCTCAGCCCATCCTTGGGCTCGCCGCGCTCCCTTTCTCTCTCCGGGCTTCGTTTGCTTCCTTTTCTCCTTTCCCACCTACACCTGTTCCCACACTTGAAACAGAGGAGAGGGGAGGAACGAGGGAAGGTAGCATTCGCCAACTCGAGGGTTAGTTTCAGGGAAGGTGAGGGTGGGATCCCACGCCTGCTACATTTGGTGTGGAACTTTTCAGAGAGACAAAACGAAGGGGCAGGGATGGTGGCCCGCGATGGTCAGGGCAGGGTCCCTGACAGGAGAGAAAAAGTACTGGAGGGGCTTTGAACCTAGTGACTGAGTGGAGGAGGAGACGGAGGGACTTATGGCAGAGAAGAAATGAATGCATACACACAACCAGCAAACTGACGGAGAGGGCTCTCTCTTTGATGTTACAACTCAAGTTTCAATCCCAACTCTGCCACTGACCTTAGCTGGTGGACCTCAGAGTAACTATTTTTTGCGCCCGGGCATCCCGGACTTCTGTAAATGTAAAAATGAGCGCTTTCTGCTCCCCATCCTTCTGTCCCTAGGATTTTGTGAATAAGCGAGTAGGATCTGAGCATCCTCAGACTGTCAAGGTTTTCATATTTAAACGGACAAAGGGCTTGTATTCCAATTTCCCAAGTTTAGGTGAGAGCTCCCCAAAGCAGAGCAGGATAAAGGCCCTATCACTGCCTCTGGCCTGCTATGGTCCAAGCTAGAGAGGGAAGGTAGCCAATGAATCAGCTTGGGACACTTTTAGGCCTTCCCCTTTTCCTCCATCTCCGTGTCCTTAGTGATGCTCTGAAGTGTTGCCAGGATTTTCCACGCAGACGGTATCGCCCACCGGATAGGAAGGATCCTGACAGTTTCAGGAGGAAGGCTGATCTTCAGCAGACGGTGTGGGGTGTGATACTCGCTGTAGCCACTACGGGGCGCGCGCAGGTCGCGGATTCCCCCGGTTGCTGGTGCTCGAGTGCCCCTACACCAGCACTGCCAGTATCTGGATCCCTAGTTACCACCGGGAGCCGGTTTCCAGCCTTGACACCTCCAAACCGCGCGCGGGGCCGGGAGCAGGCCTCCGGCCTCCCAGACTTCTGGGGCGCGCCGAGCCCTTCTTTGTATTAATCCACTCCAACCGGTTTGAGACAGACATTTAAGCCTTTTTTCTTCTTCTTTTTTTCTTTTCTTTCTTTCTTTCCAATCCTGGGCACTTCCTCTGTGTCTGCCATTTACTAGCCATGTGACCTTGGCCAAATCACTTCACCTCCCTGAGCCTCAGTTTCCTCATCTGTCAAATGGGGGTTTATAAACACCTACCTCGCAGGGTTGTTGTGAGGATTTAATGAGGTAATGTATATAAGGCGTCTTGCACAGTGCCTGGCACATAGTAGGCGTCCAATAAATCTACTTGTCCCTTTATGCAGTTCTGGAGTCTCTCTTTCGCTGACCTGGCCTCACTGTGTCCCTCCCTCAGGGCTTCTTGACTTCTTCCCGCTCCTTGTGAGGGGGAGGAGGACTCCTCTTTGGTGGAAACTTCTAGTCCACCCTGTTCCCCGGCTGGAACTCTCCCTCCCTTGCCCCCCGCCCCACCCCTGCCGGCTCTTCCCTCTGCCCCGGTGCACTCCCCCACCCCTCATTCCGGGCAAGGGCTGAGTCAGTCTAGGTAAATTTAGCCGCTGGCTGGGCAGGAGCGGGGGCTTCGCCCAGACTCAAGTCGTCAGGTCGAACCCGTCCCCGGCCCCACCTCTGTCCCCACTCCCGCTAACCCTAACTCCCGCAACTCCTTAGACCGTTCTCAAACCACTCAGGTTTTTAGTCTCCAATTAGCTCGACATCACACCCAGAGAGACTCAAAGGCAGGACGCAGAGGGGGCAGGGCTCCCCGACCACAGCCATGGCTAGCCTTGATTCAGAAGATTAGGATCTCCTATTCGGGTTTCCCAACTCTAGGGGCGTTCACTGGTCGAAGCTCCGCAGGAATATTCATTCACCTGCGACCCTGTCTGTAACCTACACATTTCCTGTTGCTCTTGGGGGAGGAAGCCAAGGAAGCCGGGTCACCCTGGGCAAAGATCAAAGATACCAAAGGTCTTACCACGTCCAGTGCAGTTCTTACTGCTGCCAAGTGAAACCTAGCATTTACTGAGCGCTTCCTAGGAATGAGACTCTGGGTTGGGCTCAAGGGTAGGAACGGCAAGGCCTGCCCGGCAGTGAGGGTGATTGTGTTAAGTTCTGGAAAGAGTCAATCAAGGGAGATTCTAACTTTAGGAGATCCAGGGAGAGTTCACAGAGGAGGAGGTGACATTTAGACAAAAAATAGTGAAAGAAGCCCAGCTGGTGGCGCTCGCCTTTTATCTCAGCACTCAGAAGGCAGAGGTTGGTGGGTCTCTGGGTGTTCAAGGCCAGCCTGGTGTACATAATGAGTCGCGTGCCATCCAGACAAAACGTGTGTGTGTGTGTGTGTGTGTGTGTGTGTGTGTGTGTATGAGAGAGGGGAGAGAAAGAGAGAGAGAGAGAGAGAGAGAGAGAGAGAGAGAGAGAGAGAGAGA